TAATTTTCAAGATAGTTCAAGAAACAAAAAGAATTATTTTATAACAAAATTTGCAGTTCTATTTCAGGAAAAATTCCAATTAGGAAGGAGTTCCCACGATCTAGGAAATTTGTAAATAAATTTAAGAAATGCAAGCTGGATTCTGACAAGTAAAAGCAAAAATAGAAGAACTTTTTTCATAAAAATAATGAAAAAACTATGGCTAATAGAAGAACCGGGAAAAAAATATATTCAGAAGGAAGCAGGAAGTACTAAAATTTTCACTCTTAGTAGGCAGGATAAGCTAAGGAAGAAGTAATCAAACAGAAGGCATGCTTCCACACATATACCAGAAAAGAGGAAGTGACAAAGAAAGTAGTAATGAGGATCACACCAGGCCACATTACAGACTACAGAGGAACATTACAGAACTATAAGAAGAATTTAAAGAACAGGACATCAATGCAAGATCTCAGAAATGAGATATAGTATATTCTAATCTGATCCAAGTATCCAAGATGCAAGACTTGAAGAAACTGCTACAGACCACCAAAGTGCATGAAATGTGCCCAAGAACATGTTATAAAAAACTTCTCAGCCCAAAGGAGAACAAAACAAAATATAATGCTGCAACTTCAGAAAAGAGCATACAGCAAACTATTCAATGTGTAAGAAACATTTGGATAATCAAATTGCAAAGAATAATAGGAATACTTTCCAAAACCACTATTTTGGAAGTGATATCACACTAAACCTGGAGTGGCATATGCACAAACTGTAAAGGCACAAAAGAAACACAAAAAGCTAAGGCTCAGTTAAGCTTTCCATCAGCAATGTCAAGAATTATGGACACCTGGACACAAATCAACAAAAACAGTCAAAATAGGAAGAGAAGAAAAATGAACTTCATGCCAGTTCATTTGTGGAGAAAGCCATGGTCTTTGTAAAATATGAAGAGGTTTACAATGCCAACACAAGATCAACATATCCACAATAAGACTAAGGATTAATGAGCTAAGAGAAATAGCCATTAGACACAATCCAGATATATGTATATCAGAAACAATATACATAACTAACATGTAGCTGCCAAGGATAACTAACACGTAGCTGCCAAGGATAACTAACACATAGCTGCCAAGGATAACTAACACGTAGCTGCCAAGGATAACTAACACATAGCTGTCAAGGATAACTAACAAGTAGCTGCCAAGGATAACTAACACGTAGCTGCCAATGATAACTAACACATAGCTGCCAAGGATAACTAACACGTAGCTGCCAAGGATAACTAACACGTAGCTGCCAAGGATAACTAACACGTAGCTGCCAAGGATAACTAACACGTAGCTGCCAAGGATAACTAACAACTAGCTGCCAAGGATAACTAACAACTAGCTGCCAAGGATAACGAACTCTGATGCCATAGGACAATGAGATACACCACAATACAAAAGAGTTGAAATTTACATCAAAAACACCTTTGAATGGAATCCGATAGTATTAAACACATAACGAATTTAAAATGTAGATACAAAATTCAGAAATATTTTTTTTCTGTTTACAGGAGAGTTGTCAATGAACTAGCTCTAGAAGAAATCAAAAAGCGCCATAGAAAATGTATTCCTAGTAGGAGATTTTAACACACACCATATAGACTGGCGGTGTATGGACACAAGATATGGAGAAACACTTAAAACACTGTGAGGGTCACGACATGATTATATTCATGCCAGATGAACCAACAAGCATCAGCCTCAATAAGTAATTTAAAAGACAATATTGGACCCTTCAGTCTCCAAGAAAAGCAAAAATTACAGACAGAATCCAAGGAAATTAAGTAATGGATTTTCTACTTAATTATAGATACATGGATGGTTAGAATTTCAACCAGTATGTAAATCATAGATGTGGGTGACTCATTATGAAGTTTGCACATATAAAACAACAAATATGGCTCAATCATCCCTGGATTGCAAACTGTTCTTGCGCTGCCTGTAAAATATTTCCATATCTCTCTTCCACACCTCTGCTGCTCTTCAGTTGGTCAGAATTAAATATTTGGGAATATTTCTTTAAAAATGATTTTTAATTTTGATGTTAAATATTGTTGAAACTGCAACATGTGCAAGTGCACACTTTTTAGGAGTATTTTTGTATGGTTTGCTAATTAATTTGTTGATAACCACTGAATAAAGGGAATGATAAAAACAAATAACAAATAAATATTCCAACATAAAAACATAATGCAAATGAGTGACAACATCCTCTTTGATTTTCTATCAAAGTCTTATGGCAGCTCTAACATAAACATACACTTCAGCATATAGGAAAGTAGTTTAATGGGATTACTGCTGTTTATGAAAATAATATTTTTGCTGACAATGATAAATGTCTTTTTCATAGCTTGGGACCTTGTGGAGATAACAGGATTATTTATGCTACAAGTAATAAAAAAACCTATGGAATAAAATAAAGGACACTAAAAACATAATACTACATGGTGGAAAATAATAAAGAATTTGAGTGGCTTTTTAGTTAACAACAATGACATTTTAAGATATAGAACAAAATTTTTAAGGTCTGAATTATTATAAGAACACAATATAGCCATAAATCAGTTCTAAGAGTCTTTAGAAGAAATGTACGAAAAACAACAGTTTCTCAAGCCATGCTAAAAATATTAAAGTAAGATATTTTACTCTGAATGTTCATGTTTATAGGTTATGTTACTGTTTGGTATTATTTTTTACAGTATTAGATATTTTGTTGTTGTAACTGGTTTTGAGTTATTTTTTTAGATCTGGGCATATAATGGCTAGTAAACATGTGTTTAAAATAATCAGAAGGCAAAATCGAATAAATGCACAAAGAGACAATTGGTTTGTGCAAGTTTACAGAATAGAAATGTGTGGTTTTCGTATGAAATCAACTAAAGAGGCGAGAAATGTTTGTTAGTAAATGGATAGTAAAGAAAGGTTTTGAACTGCTGGAGGATCTTGAAGAAGGATGGCTACAGAACATTACAATGCTGGCATAAGATTCAATTTTCCCCAGACATTTTTCCATTGGAATAATCTAACATACTGTTTTCAGATGAGTTGCATTCTTGTCTCAATGGGTCAGACATATGTTGAGATGTATGGAGAAGATCCGGAGACAGAGATGCTGCTGTGTCTTGTAGTAATGACTCAGAGGAATATATGCTATGCCTTGTAGTGATGACTGACTCCCATTTGGAGGTGGGTCAGTTATGATGGGGAGGAATTACTTTACAAGCACACAAAAAGTCAGTCTTCATACAAAATGGCTCCATTTTAACTCACAGATACATTACAGACATTTTAGATGATCATATAATCATTACTAGTATGGGCGAACATGACATTTTCATGCAAGATAATGTCAGACCCATAAAGCTAGAGTTGTCAAAGAATATTTTATGAAGTCGGAATTAGGTGTTTTGATTGGCCACCATTCGGTCCAGACATGAATTGTATCAAACAAACATGTCTGGGACGAGTTGTTCCAAAGTATCCGAAGGCATACACGACTGTAATGATGGAATTTGCATCAGTATTAGATATGGCCATTGTTAACACATAATTAAATTTATAAAAAAGTATACTTATTACATAAAAAAGTGGACAAAATCACTCCCAAAAGATTTTTAATAGGCAAGATAATATTTAGTGAGACTGTAAGACAACATAGTTGTTTGTGCTGGGTATTTAAGTAAAAATACAAAGTAAACCAAAAGCTGAAGCGGAAGCTTATATATAATAGATCTATAATATGATCCAACATGATACCAGAGAAGGTGAAACAAAGATAAAAAAAGTTGGAACAATGATTAGTAATAAAGATAAATTTAAAAAAAGTAATATATAATAGAAATGCATTGAAATGATATAAAAATTCAGTTTTATTAATTAAACATAATAAAAGAAGATAGACCGAAGAGGTTTATAAGCAAACATTAAATTAATTTTTTATTTTAAAACTTAATAACAAATTTTAATTTCGTAAAAGTAACTTTATATTTTAAACATTCATAATATACATAATCTGTTTTAAATATCAATGGTCTTATTTCCGCAATGTACTGGTAAATAAAACAACAATACAAGCTTGTAAAGATTGTAAACTAAATAGAAAGTAAACCACAATGCACTGTTGAAATTTTAGATCTAACCTTACTAATATAATTACCACTACATTTTGCAAATATATCTTAAAACCCAAAAATTCAAAACTAACAATTTAAAAAAGCGTCAATAATATTAATAAATTGTATATGAAAGTAGTAGTTGAGAAAAAAAATAATCATCAAAAAATCGAAAATACAAATGCAGAAATCCTCAATATATTATGATGTATTTACTTGTTTTATAATTTGGGCATTTCTTAATTTTTTTGTTTATAAAATCACTTTATCAAAATCACTTAGAAAGGAAAACAATGTCACAAAAAATATAATTTCAGTACACATTAAAAATGCCAAAATGAAAATTGATGGAAAATACCCAATTCAAACAAATTCAACTAAAATTATTAAACAAAGACGAAGGGTATGAATTGGTAGATTCAAGAAAATTCACTATGGCTGTAAATAAGGTTATAAAAAATGTTCGTAAGATAAGAAACCAGGTGAAGATAGTAAAATTATTATTACTTAATACGAGTATTTCAATATCGTAAGCATGTTCACTTATTTTATTTACTCTTCTTTCCCTAGTAGAGAGAAGTAAAGCTTGTTTCAACAAGTTCCTTAGTATAAAATCAAAGGAATCTTCATAACAATCAATTTAATTAAATCAACTAAATCAGTTATCAGAAGCAGGCGTAAACTACAAAATTGTGCACCACAAGCAAGGTTCTTCACAAACAATTTAATAAAAAGAAAAGATTAAAATCTAATTACCAAGAAATATAGGTCAATATGCAAAAGGTAATAAATATGCTTTAAAACCATTACAATAACAATATTATTAAAATAAAATGTTCAATGAACTACATACCTAAATATTTCTTCTTGAGTCACTTTTCAGTAGACCTTCCTCAAGTTGAACCGAACATACAAATGACAAAATGGCGTCCCAAACGTTTACTCTAAATTCCTACATATGCACGAAAACACCCGATCTATACGTCTCGTTTTAATTCGTATAGTTTACATTCTCCCTCTCTCTCTTTAACCTCGAGTATTACCTGACGACAAAATGCATCTATCTCACTTAGTAGAATACAGTTGAAATAGTTCATCCTTTTTCTGTCTGCACAATCAGCATTTTACAAGGTTTCTTAATAAATTTTGCCGGTCAAAAAATTGATTATAATTGGTCAACACAAACCACGTGTTTCACAATTATGCCATAGTGGGGTCTTTTTTAATGTCTGGAAGTCTAAAAAACTTATTAAATTTTGTCTGTGTGCTGTTATTTTAAGACAGTGGCGTGCAAATATATAATTGTGTATTATTTTTGCATTAGCGCCGTTTAAATTAATTTACTAAGTATTAGTTTATAAAAATTATAGTTTTTTATTATAAACAGTTCCACAATAATAAAATGAAAATAACGATAAGATAAAAGAATGTTTGACTAAAAGGGACTGTATTTGCATAAATGTTTTTTATCATATTTATACAATACTAAACTGAAAACAATAATTAATGCAAAAAAGTTTAAATGCTGAATATTTAATGTGAAAGGTGAAAGTATTATGAAAAACTATGAGGATACTGCTAAAGAATTGTGAAAATAACATCAGACCTGCTTTACCATTACAGAACAGGTTAAATATTCTGAATATAGATTAAGTATATATTTGCAAATCAATATTTTAAAAAATTATACAACGGATATTTTAGTAAATTTCTTTAAGTTCACTTAATAAAGATAGTGGATTCAAAGATCTTGCAAAACTCATAAGTACAATTCCCAAAAAGAGAATATTTAAGTAAACAAATAATTTACAGAAAGTTTTTCTCCCTCTCGGAAAATTTTACAACTTTTTGGATAGGTAAACCAAATGTATCGTTTATTCCTCTGTACGTCCTGTAGTTTAACCTTCCGGTGCAAATTTAAGCACGTGGGATATTGTGTTATAATTATAAAAAAAAATAAGCAGGAATAATCAACAGAAAATGACAATTAGACCAGTAATCACATTAAAATAATGAAATATTGTAACTGAAGCCACACTGAAATAAAAATGCAGAGCCATTTACTAGAATAAATGAATCGGAAGAACTTTAATTAGAAAGCTACAATTATTCCACCTGCGATGGAAAGCCTCGATGACACTTATTTATAAGAATAAACTTATTACATCTTCTTCTTTCAGTACCCTGTTCAATTATCGAACGTTGGCGATCATATTGGCTATAATAATTTTGTTTACGCAGCTAGAAACAGATTAGTGGAGGTCTTTTTCGACCTGGACCTCTTTTGCGGCGATCTTGCCTTATATTATGACTCATAATTTATGAGGCGTAGAAGGTTATACCTCTCTGGATGTCTCATTACATGACCAAATATCGTAACTTTCAAATTTTTATTATTTTCGTTATTTATTAATCTTTTTTATTCGCTGTAAAACTATTTCGTTTCTTCTTCGATCAACCAAATGTATTCGTAATATTCGTCTGTAGATCCACATCTCAAAGACCTAAATTTTTATTAGTGTCTCTGTAAGGTTCCAGCTCTCCATGCCATACAGCAATGTAGAGAATATGTAGCAGCGTATTAACCTGATTTTAAGATTTAATGTAATATCTCTGTTTCGGTCACCCTGTTTTTAAGTCGTTGCGACTCTTTTTTATTGGAAGCAATCAGTATCGTGTCGTATGCGTATGTGAGATTGATGACATTAATTCCATTGATTTTAATGCTTGCCTCTTCATCTAAAGCTTCTTTGGAGATAAATTCGGAGTAGATATTCAGAAGTAAAAGTGATAAAATACACATTGCCTCACTCCAAAGTCGTATCTCCACTGCTTCCGTCGTGTTCTGACCGATTCGTATGTTTGTAAATTGATGCCAATACAAATTTTTGGTTATACAGAGTTCTTCATCATCATCATCATTGGCTTTTACAACTCTTCGTGAGTTTTTGCCGCGTTTACTATTGCCTTCCATTGATTCCGATCCTGTGCTATTATTTCCCATGGCCTTACTTCCATCTTCTCCAAGTCTTCCCTGACAGCGTCTTTCCACCTTTTTCTAGACCTTCCTGTCGATCTTTTACCATCTGGTCTTTCCCAAAATACATTGCTAATCAGTCTGTCGTCATCACTCCGTACCACGTGGCCTGCCCATCTTAATCTATTCTATATCTATACAGAGTTCTTGGTCATTAATTAACACCTCTTGCAAGACACCTATCAATTTTCGTGGGTGATCCGGCTAAAGACCTTCTTGAAATCGATAAAACACATTCATATATACCGGTTGTTCTATATCCCTATATATTTGAACTATTACCTGCAAACTGAATAATACTTCTCTGATTCCACATTATATATACTGGAAGTTTTATTTAATGATTTGACATTCGCCAGTGTATTCCAAAAAACCAAAGAGGTATAGAATCAAATTGTTTATCATATACGACGCCAAAAGGTTTTATACCAGTACATTAGATTATAAGAAACGTTAGTACATAATAATGAAGATTGGTTTTTTTCAATTAGTCTTTTGAAAAAGCTATATGGCTAATTTTTATCAGAACTTACTCATAAAGAACTAGAAGAAGAAATAAATTAGCTTAGCTTAGCTTCGGTCACATTACTGGTGAAACTCATATAGATTCATATATGTTCCGAAGTTGTGGAAATTGACGAAAGAAAAAAAGTTTGCACCATCCTCGTCCTGGATGTACCCCAAGTTTTTTTTATAAGATCTATCAAACAGCATTAATACATAAATTATGTCCAGCAGGAGGAAGCATACTTTGATTTGAGACAGACTAGAGCTGACGCCTACAGCAGATATGTGAGCCAGGTCCTTATGGGCCTAGTCCGTTTGATAGGGTGATAAAATAAACCCGCCTTAGGAGATATAAGTCAATATGTGCAATAACGGGCTCACAAATGGGCCCTGCCTCTATCTACCATAACCATAACCATCATGCCCCACAAGCAAGCGTTCTTGGACCAGTTTTGTACATTTTATACACCAGAAATGCCCTGAACTAAATTAAGATACTCCTGCCAGATTTGCTAACGACATGGCAATTATCTCAGATAGAAATAATCATAAAGAAGCAGTGCTGAATCAAGCTGAACGAAACAAAATCGATTCAAATTGATTGCACTAATAAAAGGAAACAATATATTCCAGCGGGTAGAGGATAGGAACTCTTTAAATTCTTGAAGATAGTCCTATCAGGGAAAATTAATCAATCCCTGCCCTCCGCAGATTCCGGGGTTTTCTGACCCGGGAAACTAGTACCTGTTTAGGGTCCCTTGTCCAGGGTTACGGAGGAAGGTCACAACGGTAGCCACGGCGGAGAAACAAATCTTCGGTACGGTGCTGATGGCGTAAGTGGCAATCCTCCAGTGGGTTGATATAGAATCAAGTCAAATACTGGCCAACGGTTTCGGGCGGAGGAGTTGGTAGATGTAAGGGCACTCTTTTATCCTGAGATAGATAAATCTATCTCGAAGGCGGATGAACCAAGGAATGGTCAATGGCATAAGGATGCAGAAGGCAACGGGGAACCACTGCATTAAAGACTCGTAGAGTACCCCTAGAAATCGTCATAGCAGTTATTGACAAGCATCACCGTACTAATCATGGTTCTTGGATGCCAAGATTCAGCAGGGGGAGAAATAACAATGATGACAGGGCACCTCAGTTCGTTAACCAACGAAATACCTGCGTACTAAAAATACAAAATTCAACTTTTAAAACAGCGACTGAGCCTGGTAAAGTAAGGAACATAGAACAAGATGATGCGACTTAAGATCGACATATTAGGAATAAGTGATACAAGATGGCTCGACTCCGGCGAACTAAGTACAACCAATGGTCGACTTTTCAACTCTAGTAGTACCGAAAGCCAACATCGATATGGAGCAGCAATTAATGTCAGTAAAAAAAGTTGAAAAATCAGTTGTAGGCTTTATACCAATATCGGAAAGAATTATGCTAATACAAATGATAACAACACATGGGAAATTAAACCTTATTCAGATTTATGCGCCAACCGCCTATAAATCAGAGGAAGAAATTGAAACATTTTACGATGGCCTTCAAAAAACGCTACAAAATACAATATCTAGAGATATAATAGTAGTCATGGGTGATTTTAACGCCAAAGTTGGAGAAGGAAGATCTGAGTCTATTGTAGGACTATATGGACTCGGTGTTCGAAATGAGAGAGGAGAACGCCTTATAGCTGCCTAGAACATAATATTGCGGTAATGAATACTTTCTTCAAACTGCCTAAACGACGCCTTTACACTTGGAAATCGCCAGCTGACAAGGTCGATAAAATCGTTAGAAACCAAATTGACTATTTTTTAACAAACCACAGATACCGAAACGCAATACAATCGGTGAAAGCGTACCCAGGTGCAGACGTGACGTCGGACCATAATCCTCTTGTAGCAAAATTCCAACTTCACTTAAAAAAGATACAAAAAAGCTACAAAAGTGATAAAATAAACATACAAAAATTAAAATCAGAAGACGTCAAAGAAAAACTGAAACAAGAAATTAAGGCAGACCTAGAATCCACACCGGAATCAATTGATGGTGATGTAGAACAGTGACAATTTTTAAAAAATGCAATTATTGAACAAGTCGCAGAGAACTCACAACAACCAGATGCAAGAAAGGAGATTGGATGACAGAAGAAATCTTGAAAATGGTGGACAACAGAAGAAGGCAAAAGAATATCAACATAACTCAGTATCAACAATTGCATAATCAAATAAGAAGGAAAATAAGAAGCTGAAGAGACTTATTTCGCTGGAAAATGCCAAGAAATAGAAGACTTACAAAACAAATATGATATCTCCATACGAAAGTTAAAGAATTAGCCGAGGTAGCAAAACAAAAAAACCTCAAGCATACTATTGGACAAACAAGGAAACATTTTAGTGGAGA